CTCGTGGCCGCGCAGAACAAGCTAAAGGAGCACAGAGCTGCTCCTAGTAAAGGGTATTTTCCCCAAATCCTGACTGCAGCAGGGCAGCGGGTGCAAATGGGTGAAGGGGAGCTGCTTGGTGGCTGAATGTGAAATACTGGATGGGGCAGCTGGAGACATCCAAGGGGCACAGTCCCGCAGCTGCGGGGTAGGCGACAGTGGCAGGAAGATTGCCCATGTCCCCTTGACTCTGCCCTTTTGTGCGTCTGTGCTTGGACGTGGTCTTCACAGGAAGCTCTTGGGTCTCGTGCATGCGCAGATCTTGGCCGTCGGCCCTCGTCCCCCTGCTTCACCTGGGGCAGGTTCGGGTGCTGCCGGGGTCTGGGCACCAGGCCTTGTAGCCGTGCAGCAAGGTTGGCTGTGCAGGTCTAGGAACAGGTCAGACAAGGACTTCTCTGGGATGGGGTGGGTGCGGACTGACCTCCGTCTTGGGTGCAAGTCCTTTCCTTGCGGTTTAACTCGGCTCTCGGGGTGGCAGAGGCTCCTGGCTCTGTGCCCTCCAGGGTTGCATGGGGCCCTTGTCTCCGTGGGCTCCTCTTGCTGGCAGGGGAAGCCGCTGCGACGCAGGGACCTAGAGCGTTTGTGCAGGTGAATGCAGGGGGCCGCTGCTCGCAGGTGCTTTAATCCTCAGCTGCTCTGCTCAGAGAGCTGTGGGGGACCTGCCTCAAGCATCTGCCGGTGGCTGCCGTCAGACACAGGACGCTGGCGGTGGGTCCGATCCAGCCTGGCAGTCCCTGCGGTGCTGAGCCCCTAGGCAAGGTGCTGCCCTCTAATCCACGTGAGGGCGGTGGATCCCGGGCGGGCTCTGGGCAGGGCTGGGGGTGTCATGCCACGCACACAGCTTGGCAGGAGCTTTGTCTCTGTGATTTACGCCCTGCAGCGCTGACGCCAGCGCCGCCTTTCAGCCCCGGAGCTGGCGATGGTTGCACCGGGCCGGGGGATTAGACCTGTTGGAAGGGAAGCAACAGAGCTGAGGGGTGGGCACAGCTGGGGGGCAGAAGCTGGCACTGGAGGGGACCCCAAGTGAGGGGCTTCCCTCTCCCTGCTGCTCACCCGGAGCCATTTGAAGCTCCCTGGGGCTTGCGGCTGCTGCTTGCTGTCTTGGCTTCGGGGCAGGTTTTGCTCCGCTCGCGGGCTCCGGTTTGCCTGCAGTCGCCATGGGAATGTGGTGCCCGTCTCCAGGGCTCGGTGCCGGGGGCCCGTAGGATCTGATTGCAGAAGGTAAGCCTCATTGCTCCCACGGGGATAGAGATGCTCTGCTGCGGGGTGTGGGCAAAGGGGAAGCTCCCTCGCAGCAATCGATATGCAACAGCTGGATGGCCGGACACGTGAGGGGTCTGGACCGGATGGGGAGTGAGGGGGTGTCTGTTCTCCGGTAGCAGGGGGTCACCCAAGGATGGCGGTGCAGCTACAGCCATTGGTCACTAGGCAAGAGGCCTTTATTTGATGGAGATATTGCTCAGGTCTGCATCTGGCCGTGGCACAGCCCCACGGAGCCTGGGAAGGTGGGCGGCAGAGACGGCAGCGTGCTGGGTGCAAGAGGATCGTGCTAGTGATGGGGGGTATCACCCGGACTGTGCACAACAACATCCCAGGAGGACTAGCCGACGATTGAAAAGGCTCCTGCTTTGATTTCAGCCCAGCCTTGAGCAGCCCCCAGCGGACTCCTGGGATGGGGAGCTCAGATAAAGGTGCCTCAAGCTTTCTGTGCGTTGAGGCCGGGTTGTAAAACCCGTGTTTCCAGGCTAGGACGTCACCGCTGCTCTCCGATGAGGTTGTCCCTATTCTCTCCGTGGTAGGATGGTTGTGGATGGGGAAGCCGAGGGTGGCCGCACGCGCGTGTGGGTGGCCTGGAGTGGAGCAGGGCAGCGGTGCCTGCTGCGTGTGTGTCAGGCGCCAGCAGCATAACTGCGGAAAGCATTGCTGGATACCAGACCCCGGAGGGCCCCTGCAGACGCCAAAGGCAACCCCAGCAGCGCTGTGCCGAGAGCTGGCTCCAGTTCAGAGCAGGACGGGGGGCAAACGGGGTGCCCCGGGGCTGGGCGGGATGGCTGCTCTCCAGCGAGGCAGCCACGCCGGTCCCGTGGCTTTTCTCC